GTCTTGAGATTCCTCCTCCATGGTTCTCTGCAGGGACCAGGTCCAGGTCTTTGTTTCATGTTTGGGTCTGTGGACACAGAGCTGATGGGACTCCAGTTTTGTCTCATCTGTCCAAAGGACACTGTCTTCCAGTCTGGTTCTGATGACTTGGTGTCCTCCTCCATCGTCTCCCATGAAGTCCAGTTTGTCTCAAACAGAGTGGTGGTGTGATCTGAGGACCTTTGACCTCGGAGATCACCTTCTGTTCTGGACTCTTTGGTTCAGATGGTCCGTCTCATCAGTTGTCCTCTTGTGGACACGTCTAGGGAGGTTGTCTCCAGTCCTGTGGACCTTATAGTTCTGAATAATCTGAGCAGCTGTAGTCCCAGAGCCATCCAGCTGCTTGGAGACAGTCTGATGACACTCTGTCCTCAGCTGAGACACTCTGCCCTCAGCTTCCTGTGCTCCATGTTCAGACCTGTCCCCCTTTAAACACTGACAGGACACACCTGAGTTGGACGTGTCCATGTGGACAGACTACTTGCAGTCTTTTAGGAGTTTTTTTTATTTAAAATTATTCTAAAACAACTGAAATTTCTGAGTTCATTTTTACATTTTTATTACTTTTGTCAGTTTAGAGTTATTTTCCTGATCCTTGTTTGTTAGAAACTAATAAATCTTGAAATCCTCTCTGAGTCTGTCCACAAAAACTCATCTCTAGCCCTGAATGAAATTTTTAAAAAGTCATAAAATGCTGATTTAAAGGATGTCCTACCTGTAATTGTCCCTCTCCCGTCCCGCACCTTCACGCCCGTTTAAACCATCTGCTACAATCCAGCCACGGGGCTCTCATGTGGACACATCTGGGTCCAGGAGAAGAGAAAAAGAGACYAGGAACGGTGCTGCTTCCCTCCTCCAGGTGGAACCGCGCGGACAGAAATCCTCCTCCCGCTCCCTGCCCTCGCGCTCTGCTCTGTTAGTCCACAGAAGGATCCTCTGAGCGGGATCACCACCCAGCAGGTGGGTCCACGCGCCGGGAAGGAAAAAAAAAAAGAAGAAATCAATGCGGGGCGAGTTTCTGACGCATGACGTCACCGGATCAATCAGTCCAGCCTCCGCCCCTCCTCCCACAACTTTATGGAGACTCCAGAGGCAGGGGCGGTAATCTGAATACTGCAACAGTAATCTGATTATTTCTCAGAGATGTTCAAGATTAAATGTTTCTCTACTGGGAAAAATTCCTGCAGATTCTGGGTCATTTTAACTGTCTTAACAAACAATAATGACTGATTAGATTTATCTTATCATAATAACCAAATAACTGGATTTAAATGATAAAAAAGCTAAAATCAGCTGCTGTTGGACTTAAAGACAGAAAACATGAGATTTATTAGAGATGATAAATGTTGTCTTCTTCTGCCACCATGTGGAGGAGCTCAGCACAAACAGGAGCTGAAGGAACAAACTGAAAGAACCAATATTTACAGACCAGAGAGGACAGATGTGCTGTTTGATTTGAAGRCAGAGACGTGGACAAAAAGACAGGAGACAGGACCGGAAAAGGCAGAGCTGAAGATGTTGAGGTTCGCTCTGGGGGAGTCAAGGATGGAGATTAGGACTGAGACCATCAGAGGGACAGGCAGGTGGAAGGACTGAGATAAAGTAAGAGACGAGACTGAGACGGACTGGATACGTCCAGAGGAGGGACGGTGGGTGTATTGGTGTTGACATGTCCAGAGGAGGGACGGTGGGTACATTGGTGTGGACGTGTCCAGAGGAGGGACAGTGGGTGTATTGGTGTGGACGTGTTCAAAGGAGGGACAGTGGGTGAATTGGTGTGGGCGTGTCTAGAAGAGGAACGGTGGGTATATTGGTGTGTACCTTTCCAGAGGAGGGATGGTGGGTATATTGGTTTGGACGTGTCCAGAAGAGGGACGGTGGGCATATTGGTTTAGACGTGTCCAGAGGAGGGACTGTGGGTATTCTGGATTGGAYGTTTCCACAGGAGGAACCGTGGGTGTATTGGTGTGGACGTGTCCAGAAGAGGGACAGTGGGTATATTGGTTTAGACGTGTCCAGAGGAGGGACAGTGGGTGTATTGGTGTGGATGTGTCCATAGGAGGGACAGTGAGTATGTTGGTGTGGACGTGCCAAGAGGAGTGAGGGTAGGTGTATTGCTGTGAACGTGTCCAGAGGATTGACGGTGAGTATGTTTGTTTGGACATGTCCAGAGGAGGGACGGTTGGTATACTGGTGTGGACGTGTCCAAAAGAGGGATGGTGGGTATATTGGTGTGGACGTGTCCAGAGTGGGGACCATGGGAATATTGGTTTGGATGTGTCCAGAGGAAGGACGGTGGGTATATTGGTGTGGACGTGTCCAGAAGAGGGATGTTGGGTACATTGGTGTGCATGTGTCCATAGG